ATATCGTTATTATTATTATTTTCTCTAGGTCAGTTTTTTGAGCAGTGGTTACTTTAAAGTACATTACATGCATATGCGTGCCGAGCAAGACTTTAATCAGAGTGACCGATACTATCCGCGAAAAGCTGGAGTGATTCCTGGCCTGAAAAATGTCTCGAGGGGATGACTGTAGGGAAACGGAGAGTTTCAGAAAACCTTCAAGCCGGATGGAAGGGGAACAGTCTTTCCTGACAATAGCCTGCGAGCAGAAAACCCAAGATCAGGTCTAAATTAAAGCACGCTAACAAAATGTCAATTTTGAAATGGGATTGATCGCAGACGGCAATCACACATTCCCAACTGAGTCGGTTGAAGAGTTTCGCACGATACACTTGGTGCTTGTTTCACTTTCACGTCCAGAGGTAAGGTTGAGTCGAGAAGTTGACTAGGTATTTCGTGCCGACCAAGTTGGAAACCTATCCTGTTGGACACAGCACGCAGGTGTCATGAGTACCGTGCGACAATCCACTGGAAACATGAGTCTGGATGGAGTGGCGGAACGACGTGGTTGATTTCTGATCGGGTTTGTACTCACCTCAGCGCTTCTGGCTCATATAGCCCCCCGAGGACTGTGTCTGTATTCAAGCTGGGGTTGCAGGTTGTCGCTCTGCTCATGTTCTGCAGTCAAAATTATGACAAAAATAAAAGTAAATACTTGATCTGGGTTTTTTCGAGAACTAGTTGTACTTCTCAATGACTTCGAGGAAACGAGAGCTATGGACACAAAATCGATTATGAACAACCACCACTTATGTCAGATGAATCTCTATTACATGCTTAGCTTTTGAGTTTGAGCAATTAATTTAACTATTTTCCATAAACGAAAAATTGCAAAAAATAATGCTATTGGCCATTAAGTTGTGCCGAGAATTACAAGGCCAGAGGTAGTCTGTATGTCGAATATCCTGTGATCAATGGTTTGGAGTGGACTAGGATACTTAAGCAAGTTTTGCAAGAAAAAAAATATAAAAAGAAATGTCAAATTATCTTGTTTTTCGAGAAAGAGCTGCACTTTTTCATGAAAAGAAAAACTTGTAAATTATGCTTAGAGAAATTACGGTAAAATGTGTAAGGTTGTAGATACTAACTGTTGTTATTTTCTTTTAGAAAACAGCCCTAAGAAAATACGCGCGTTGATTGGTTAAAAGTCACGTTTGTATAACTCGATAGAAACACAAGACTAGCACGAGCTGTTGACGTAATGATGGCACGAGCAAAGAGAATTTACATTTTGATAATCAAAGTTAACAAGTTGATTTCCTTTTTTTCGTCGCGGTGTTTTCTTAAAGAAATAGAAAACATGTTCTTCGTGTTTCTATCGAGTTACAGAAACACGAGCGAAAGTTTGGGGGAACTCGAAAAAGCTGTGGAAACACTTGCCTCCGGCTCGTGTTCTTACAACATTTCTCGTTCTCCCAAACGTCCGCTCGTGTTTCTCTAACTCGATAGAAACACGGAACATGTTTTCTATTTCTTAATTGTAATACAAGACAGTTTATTGACTTCTTATGAATTGCATATGACAGGAACAAAAGTGTTGTGCCGTGACTTTCTCTATGGCTAAGCCCACGTGACGTCCTGGCCTCAACAAACGAAGAACGTGGCTAATATCCAGCAATCTTGACCTCAGTCTTGGTCAATAATTTAACTTATAGACTAAATAATTTGCTGCGGAGGGGCATTACTGTATGTGGGGTTATGTACACTTTGTCACATTTTGAGTGAAATTGTATTTAACGATCCTTTCTGGAATATAACCGAGCTTAAAATTATATCGCCATGTCATGTGTATGATTATGCAGATTTATGTAGGACCATTTGTACGGCTGTATGGCTATATATTAGGTTAATGGTATTGAAATGTAGTGTTATGATATGTAGGGTAAGGCTATGTAAAGCAATTTAGGGCTGTACAGTCTGCAAATGTATATTAATAGCTATCTATAACTATTTGTAGTTTTTGAATGGGCTTATAAGATGTTTATTTCAGACTTTTTGGGATCTTCCGAACCGTTTCTAAACTCATTGTGGGACTGGGCACGAAGCCAGGAATCGAACTCACTCAGTATCATTTATATTCGGTAAACTTCGGGAACTCAAACATTTTCGAACATCGTCGGAAATCCGATTAGTTCGGAAAATCGAGCACTGTCAGTAAAAGAATATCTCTGGAAATCTGACAAATTCGGAAAGGCAGCACAGTCGAAGAAGAATCACATCTTCGGAAATCCGACTAATTCGTCAAATCGAGCACTCACTCTGAAGAAGAATGTCTATGAAGTGATCCGATTGAATCGGCAAATCTAGCACTGTCGGTGAATTGAATCGGAAGTCCAGCTAACTCGGCAAATCAAGCTCTGTCGATGAATAATATCTTCGGTAATTGAACTAATTCGGCAAATCGAGCACTGTCGATGAAGAATTTGAATATCTTCAGAAGTCCGCCTTATTTGGCAAGTCGACCATTGTGGAAGTAGAATAACTTCGGAAATCCGACTAACTGGGCAAATCGAGCAGTGAGGACGTAGTGTCGATGGATTAAGAAAATATCTTCGGAAATCCCACTAGTTGCGCAAATCATGCAAGCACTATCGATGAATCATCGGAAGTCCGACGTGTTCGACAAAACGAGCACTGTCGAAGAAGAATATCTTCGAAAATCCGACTAACGCGGCAAATCGAGTTCAGCAGTTCATTAATATCTTCGGAATTCCCACTGAAGGGGCGGCAAATTGAACACTGTCGATCCATAATATTTTCGGAAATCCGGCTAATGGGGCATATCGAAAACTGGATCGATTAAGGATATCCTCAGAAATCCGACTAATGGGGTAAATCACCTGATATCACTTGACAATGAAAATAGAACAAAGAAGCATAAGGCATAGAGAAGACAGTGAGAAGACTGACAGCAAAACCCGACACATATCGAAAACAAAACCTCATGTCCACAGACATTTCGCCGCCGTTTTCCACAATACTACACATTACGTGTTTTAGTTCTGAAAGCCCTCTTTGTCGTTTGGGTTCTTGTCAGTACGGGAAGGTAACACAACTCAGAAAGACTTGAAAAAGGCAAATCCACAACTCAGGTAGAGTCCATCACGGGAAAAGTTTACAACCGCCATGTTGTTACGTCACTCTATTGTTCGTGTCATTGCGCCGGACTGGTTACCAGGTTTCGACGGTTCAAAAAAAATTGGAAATCCAGAAAATGAGGAGCAAATAGCTAAACAAGTCGACGTTTTAAAATCATGTTTATTTTAATTTAAAACAGACCTCTTATAAAGATATATCATTGTGCAATAAATCTACATAGTTCTTACATGGCATTTGCAAATCGAATTTAATTTCTCTTTCTTTATTACCCAATAAAAATTGGTTGTTACAAATAGTTGAGCTGTTACTAGGTTTATTCAGTAACAGGAAGAATGCTATATTGGTGAACAAGTGGAAAAACATATGGTTGATAAAAATATTGTAAAAATATTGATGTTTACCATGATCACTTTTTCTCTACTGTGAGTATTCTCATATTCTCTTGGTATTCTCCATCTAATGAATGGAAAAACTTGCATATTGATATGAAAGAGTTTGTAGTAATTCAATTTTATGATCATTGTGTGTTAGCCCTTGTTTTCCTGTTGCAGTTCTTCCAATGTCGATTCTATCGGAGCTGCCTTACTCAGTGGATTTATCTCCTCGGAGCTGTGGCAATTTTTCAGATTTTTCCGCTTTTCGCAGCGCTCAGTGAAGTTATTCTCGTCTCTAAGGACATCAAAAAGGGTTCTCCTGGCTTGACCTGAAAACAGGAAAATTAATTATATATCAGAGACGGCAAGATCTCGCTCATGAAAACCCCAACCCGGAACGAAAAAATCCTACAGAGTGCGAGAGTCTATTGTACTCTGGCGGTTTAAGCCAATTTTGAGTGCCGGTTTTTTTTTCCTTTTCCGACCGACCGACCCAAAATCAGAAAACGCATTCGACAATAAACGAAAAAAAAAAGGGGAGGACCTGACATTCAAACAGAATTAAGAGGCTCAAAAGAAAGCCCTCAAAACTTGTACTTTACTCTCTCCAGCAATCTTTTTTGTTTTTGTGAACTGTCCGTTAGACGTCAAACCTTCTTGTTCACTGGTTACTGAATGGATTTACAAACAAGTTGTTTTGTTGTTATGCTCTTGTGGTTTTTTTGAGGAGAAATACGATTATCGAGCTAACATGTCGTAAAGAATTTGTTACGTGCCGTTAAATGATCGGTTAGATGTTATTGATTTGTCGTACAAGTACGGCGGTTTCGGTTTTTAGCAGAAAACGAAAACGGTTTGCGGTTTCGAAGGAACAAAATACGCAGTTCACGGAATGTACGACGCCCTATAATAGACCCTCAAGTCTGCGTCGCAACCTAACTTTCTGTGTTCGTTAGCACATTTGATTGTTATATCGCGTTTTCCGCAACAATTAATCGTCGTGTGTATGCACACATCCTTTACATACTTTCTACCTGTGTTTAGAGTTTACGACTTCAATGGTTCGGAATGGAGCTTGCGCGCCCGGAGGGGGGAGGGGGGGATACTACCTTATATGGGCTATATAGGTATGTGCGGCCCCAAAGGGTATGGTTTTTCAGCCGTTTTTGTCATAAATAGGGTATCGATTTTAGCTGATTTTAGCCATTGTGGTCATAAATAGGGTATGGTTTTTGCACTCTAGCCTAGATATGGGTATGTTTTCAAGAAGAAGCCACTTTTTCGTCATTATCGAAAAGAAAATCAACAAAAGTCCTTCGCAAATTATGTTTACGGTAATTTAACATCGGCCTGAACTAGGGAACTAATTGTAACGTAGGTCTGAAACAGGGTTTTGATTTAAGGGTCAGGTCATAAATAGGGTTTCGAATTTATGGTCAGGTCATAAATAGGGTAGGGAACATCGCAGATTTTGGTCATAAATAGGGTAAGGGTTTTGGGAAGCGGGCCGCACACCCCCGCCCAATTTTTCTGCGAGTACCCCCCCCCCCCGGCTTGCACGGGAATGGTTTTAAATTAAAACTGGCGGTAATTGTGTTGAGCTCAGTTTGAGATCGCTTGTTCTTGATGTTATCTTGCTGGGTTACTTTAAATTTGGCAAAACGCCCAGGCCTTTATTTTCAAGAGTGGGTGGTGGAGTTGTATTAATCATAGGCGTATTCTAATCACTCTCGGGAATATACAGACCTGTTCCTGTCGGAGAAGTGGCTGTCGGACTTGTGGGAGCTGTACGGGGAAGAAAAGACAATATCTCACACTTTATCCGTGTCATGGGCTTCTCCTAACTTTAGTTTATTCAGAGTGATTAGCGATAAAATGTACTATGAGTATTCGGCAGGTATCATTCCTGGAGTCCATCAAATAAAACTGGCCCTGCACGAGTAAGATGGAATACCTATTTAAGCCTCGTTCCCAGGCCTTTACCCTTGGACCCTATCAAACTTCAAGGGAAATGTCTTTCCCGCTCAGTTTCACTGCTTAACATACCAGGAAAAAATTACGGACTGCAAAGTCAATGGTTAACGCAGGGAGTTGATGCTATATTGTTTGAGTCCATCAGCCGCTTTGGAGTCTGGTGCGGGTGCTAGAATCTCAGTGATCAGTTCATCATCTTCGGGGATTTCTCGGCTCTCATTTAAAATTTCGGATCATTTCCGTAGCTAACAGTATAGTTTGCAAATCTCGTCATTTCTCTGCCAACATTAAATGTCACGTAAGAAGAAGCGTTGCGTGACAGCCAATTCCTCCAAAACAGGTGCCAAAAAATTCCGGCTGTAAGTAAGTGCACCAGCAGTGAAGTGAAATAACCATCAAAAGAAGCTAAAGGACAGTCTATAGCAAACAGTTGAAAGCGTGTCGCAGCTTCTATTGAAGTTAACAAGGTCAAGACTCACCAGAAGAAGAGTGTTTGTTCATTCGTTTGTAAAGCATTGACACATACGTCATCACACTCAATTCGTCAACAACTTTCATCGATACCAGGTCCTGCGCATCCAAAAGGGCGGGAACCTTAAGCCTCTCCTCGGCGATTTTGAAAGCCTAAATTGAAAAACAAACTCAAGTCGCATTAAAATAACTTTTGATCATTATTCAGTTTAGTTCAAGTAGCTGAGTCTGTCGTATTTCTCAGGGTTAGACGATAGTGGAAGATGAAAACACGTTAAAATAAAGGCCGCTCGTCGTGTCCACGTGAGCATAGATTTCGCGTTAAAGTATCAGTTATTTCTTGGCCGTCCTGCGATTTTTTGAAGGCAGCAGAAATCGTAAAATAACTTGAGAGAGATTGCCTTAGGATTAAAACCTATATATGAGGGATTAACTCAGTTACCCTTAACCTCTCATGCTAGGCTGATCTTTTTATTAATTAATACCAGTCCAGTGACCACCACACAAGTCAACTCACCAATTCATTGTTTTTCAAAGCGTCCTCCTTGGACAGGTCATCAAACTCACTGTAGAGATAAAGAGAGAATTTAAAACAACAACGTAACAACACAACAACAATAACAACAACAATAACAACCGAGCAACAATCCCTGAAGCAATGGATGTGGTTTGCTTTTATTGTCATATTTCCCTCGTAGCTTGGTTTCACACTGGTCAACAAGGTACCGCTAATATATATGATAATACAAAGTTCCCGGGTTCTTCTCCACTGTGTAGAGCGCCATAGAGGGTGGGTGGCATGTTCTGATCGGCTAAAGGGTCTTTGTGAATATCGTCTATTCACCCTGCGCGATATTTTAACTGGAAAGTTGTAATACAATCACTCAAAATGACCTAAAGGGGCAAGACTACGAGCAGTTAGCGTCCTTACTTTGTTCCTAAAATTTTCGGTACGCATGGCAAAGGTAAATTAGGTAACTTAGAGAAAGAAAAGATGAAACGGAACGAGACGAAACAGGGTAAAAACCTATATTCCCGTGCGCTTCTCGATCGCCCTAAATCAGTTCATCTTTCGGCTTCGCATTCTATTCTCGTCGCGAGTAAGCTAAGAAAAGCAAGACTGCTCCGGCTAGGGGCCAATATGCTTTTAATTCATTCTCAGCTAGTGTGGTGCTGTCCTTCAATACAGAGCTGTATAAAATAGCAGGGCAATAATTTGATAACATCTTCACTGACATCAAATACAATTAACAACTGACGTTAGACTGAACGTTTGTCTACAAATTGGATCAGATATCGTTTTTTTTTTTTTTCTGCTAGTTTATTTCCTTAACTGATCTGGCTCCGATTCAACAGGTCAGCTCAGTGTTCCTAGCACGTAGCAAAATCCATCAACACTTCTCCGCGACAAAAAATAATTGTAGCTAGCTACAAAGCAACTATTCCTCAGTTATGGCATGCTCTAGTTTCGAGGGTTGATTTGCCCACTACAAGACCTTAAGCACCGAGAAAATTAATTAGACAGCCCGACCGAAAAAAGCCTGTTTAAGCCTGACCTCGTCAACTTTTGAGTTTTAGATCATCAGTATTGTTTCCTATCTGTCCAAGAGCCGCAAAAGCAATATTTCAGCGAATTTAATTTTAATCTTTCCTCAGTTTCATTCACCATTCTTCAACATGGGAAATGAAGACAAAAAAAGGAACAAAACTTTGCTGAAACACAAAGACATCTGTAGAAACAAAATACTTTAATATCTTACGTGGTACTGATACATAAATATTATTTTCAGGGGTTTTCCATTAGGCTTATCTTGACACGATGTTGACCATGATAAAGTTCAATTACTGACAAATCTTTTTGTTTTACCATGCACTGCAAGCCTTTGTATGTGTCCTTATCGAAGCACGTTTATTGTTTCGCAACAAAAAAACAAAAAAAACCTCCAGTATCCGGCTTTGTTATGTCTCGTTTCGCTTCGTGACTTGTGAGGACCAATATTTATTACAAACACGTATCGTTTCATGCTTCAATGCCTCATATCTTATTTTCTGCTCTTTTATTCTAAGTAGTTTCTCCGAGTTTCGCAATAGAAAATACAAAGAGGCTGTGTATTGCCCCGATATATTGCATTCCAGTAAAATGAATGCCAATTTTACTGGAATTTTCGGTAACTAAAATTTGTTTTCAATTAAAGAGCTCGTCGGCAATTAACTTCTGGTACCCCCACGTTATGACGGAATGGCCAAGACGAAATTTTAAGGTCACAACAAACAAATCGATGTGCCAGTATTATATAACATACGACCCGTGAAAGAAATGTCGCAATATATATTGTTTTCAGGGAAGTGAGCGAAGACTTCTCTATCCTGTGTTGAAAAACCTTGCTACCACTCCAGCCAGGTTCTAATCTTTGTTTAGCCGATGTCATTCGTGGTTAGTCAACAACCACTTTGACTTCACAACGGGTTAAACCCTCGGCTCAATGCGATTTCAAATACTTACAGGAGTTCAGGACTGAATCGGTGCAGAAGTGCGCAAAATGCGAGCCCGTCTCTCCAAGAGGATGTCAGATCGCAGACATTCACGTCTTTATAGCCCTCCGTTTGCTGTTTACACCATTCCAAGAGCGCTTCTTTCCCCTTCAAACTCCTTTGTCTCGCCAACTGCCTTGTAGACATCACGTTAACGGTCTTTAACTCGCACCGTTCAAGGTATATAAGAAGATAATCCGAGGTTAAATCTGTTAGGTCGTGTGTTGCTTGCTTTTGGGGACTAAGCACGTACTGGCTTCCTTATGGAAATGTACCTGATGACGGCGTTCGTCAAAAGCGAGTTTCCTTTACATCGCAAAAATGCGATTAGGGAATGAAATATGCGGTCAACAGCTTGGTCTCCTGCGGTTACGGTATTGTAAACGGCACACGCGTTTCCAAACGATTTACAGTTCGATATTCACGAAGGTCAGAAATGATTAAAAGTCGTTCATCCTTATCAATCTAAGTCAATGACCGATGACAGCGGCAGACTTTTGAAGAGACCGATGTCAACTGTAGTTCTTTACGATTAAGGTAACGAAAAAAAAATAAATCCATTATTTTTTTTACACGAACATTGTTTTCCCGTCCCAGGCCGAATATTTTTATTTTTCGTCCGAGTTTCATGCTGAAAATGTTCTTGTGAATATTCATCAGAGTCTAGCGTACGACATTTCCGTTTTTGAATGTATTAATGGCGATGAAGTTATTTTTGGAGCCAGACTGCAGGCAATAAAGCTTGAAAAGTCATTAGCATCCAACATACGGCTGGTGCTGTTTTTGTTTTTCCGCCTACAGAAATTGAAGGAAGAATTTTGTACGGTTTAGTTGAAAACATATATTAAATTCCATTGCCGTTTACAACTTTTCAACACAAACTTATTTTCTTTTCAAAATCTCGGCCTAGGGTTTATGTACTTAAATATTCTCAAAATTTCGTAAATTTCAGCCCCCAGTTCTTATAAAATATTTCTTTTATACATAAAATTTTTTTTTTTTATACATAATACAGAGACTGTACTTAAAAATGTATTGAAAAAATGGCATACCATGAAGGGATGTATTAACATGTTTGCCACAGACATCACTTTTCAAAATTCCCTGACGTTTCCCTGATACAAATCAAATTTCCCTGACCAAATAAATACGAAATATCAGATATAGAATTACTAACGCCCCCCTGCCTACCCTTACAGCCGTCTTACCCATTAATTATTGACTGATCAGTTTTCTAACGTTTTTCACGAGTGATCCGAAATTTTTCTTCCAGCCTTCAATGGTGTTAAATCAGCGGTGTTATGATTTCAATATCCCCTGACCTTTCTTCAAAATAAATGCCAGTTTTCTCTGACCCAAAGCAAAATTCCCTGACTTTTACTTGACCCAGCTTGAAGAATTTTTTTCCATGACCATTTCCTGACCTCTGTGTGACAACTCTGATCATGAGTTCTGACCTTCGCTGATAGATGCAACTTTAAAACTTGACATCGTTACCAATTTGTCAAGCAATCAAGAATTCAAGAAAATTGAGCACTTGTCTGTTGGTTAATTTCTTATTTCAAAGATCATGATGCTAAAAAGCTGTCATTAAATGCTAATATTGCTTGTCTAAAAGCGAAACAACACAATAAAATACAAATGAGAAAAGAAATCGATAGCCTCCTACTGCAGGCATCTCTCATCACCGTGAGCTAGTACAGTCGCTCGTGAGCCGGGAGGGAGCACTTCAGTTCGTGCCAAAACGCTAAGAATTTTACCTATCGCTTTCGACGCTGGAGGCTTGAAATGCATGAAGCCAGTGTTAACAAGACTATTCAGAATAGATCATCCCACGAAACCAAAAACAGAAAAGAAACTGAAAAGGTTCCACGATCAGGGGTAGGTTTCAGTCCCAGAAAAATTGGGTGCGTTGGCGGCCCGCTTCCCAAAACCCCTACCCTGTTTAAGACCAAAATCTGTGATTTTCCCTACCCTATTTATGACCTGACCAAAAATTCAATACCTCATGTAAGACCTGACCCTTCAATCAATACTCTGTTTCAGACCTGTCTTATAATTAGTTACCTAGTTCAGACCGATGTAATAAAAAGGCATTGCGAAGGGCTTTTGTTGACGGTCTTACCGATAATGAAAATAAAAAAAAATAGCTTCTTCTAAAAAACATACCCAATTCAAGACTTAAGTGCAAAAACCATACCCCATTTGAGACCAAAATGGCTATAATCGATACCCTATTTCTGACCAAAACGGCTAAAAAGCCATACCCTTTAGGGCCGCACCAGGGTCGCACATATCTTTATAGCCCGTATAAGGGGGTATACCTCTGCCGGGTCAACGATCAACTGAGAATCAGTGTAGAGACGGCGAATTCGTCCACGAGGGAAGCATGGTATCTTTGACGGTCGACGAACACTTAACGCTACGTGACTTCTACGTCCCGGATACAATAAATCATCGATATGATCATATCTGGTACGTAAAGAAATCGCCGATCTGGAATCGATTATCTAACAGTCATGCGGCGGCAAGTATTTGGCTTTTCGTGATTAGTTTTGCAGAGCAATGTTCCCCGTCAGGATCAAGTCATTTTTAAATTATCTTTTCGTAGGTCGCTCGGCAAATAGGACCATTGGTTTACTGTGCAGCAAGGCTTTGTAACAGTAAGATGAAAGTAAGGAAAAACTAGGAGGAAGGAGAGGGGAGGGGAGGCTACTTCCCGCTTGTTTTTCTTCTGGGCGGCCAGAACGCGGAAAACTCTTCGCATGCCTGGTTAGTCACGCGCCAGACGAACAAATACAAGTGACAGATATATAAGAGTAATAGATAACCACAACTCCCGTCCATATAAACCTTTATTAAACATTGTAGCTTAACAAGGGACTAAACACTAACAAACAAAAGTGCTTGGGAAATTTTTCAAAGTCCGCGTACAACAAGCTAAACCATGCACCTAATTGCAACAGATATTTGTGTAAATGAAAAGTCGCAGTTGACGTTCAAAGGCCTTAAGTTATACAAATGAAGGTATCTTTTACAAATACTTCGTAACATTAAATTACAGTTACAATGTTCATAATATTTACTTGAGATTTACGACGCTATTTACGAGGCTAAAAAGTTCAAAAAATTAAAAGAAAAAAGAAAGTTGCCATTAATTAATCCTGGACCAAACGCGTTCGGTTTTTCTTTTAATTTTTAACGTTTTAACCTTGCAAATAGCATCTTAAAATTACAATATTTAGAGAGAAAACCTTGTCAGTTCTGCTAGTTTTCGGGCAGGTCACGGCTCCAACCAAGTCGAACTGGAATTTGGAAATGTTGGTTTTTCGTGAGGGAGGAAAACCGGAGAACCCGGAGAAAAACCCTCGGAGCAAGGATAAGAACCAACAACAAACTTAACCCACATATGGCATCGGGCAGCTAGGCTGGGATAAAATCTGGCCAAGTTGCTGGGGGCGAGAGTGTTTTCACCACTATGCCATCCTTAAACTTCAATTTTTTAAATGTCTTTCAATCTGTTTGAACTAGTCAGCAATAACTCGGTAATAAAAATCTGTGGTGAATTATAAGGTATATATCTAGCTAATAGACAGTTTCAACCCGTAAATAAAAATAACAAAGAATAAAAATCCCAATTGGCGGGAGGCAGACCAGTTGGCTATTTACAAGCGTGGCCGAGGAGTTGAAATCAGGACTACCGAGAACACGTTGCACGCTGAACAACTATCTTACGCTATGCTAAATTATTGCACGGAAATCAGCCACTCTGAATCAATGTAAATTTTACTACTGCAACGAATTCAAGTATTCGTATTTTCCAAGAAGTATCACCGACTGATCCGCGCCCCCCTGATGGCGGTGGGTGAAAGTTACACGTGATGCAAGCTGTTTTCTCTATTCTATTTCACGCAAGCAAGGCGGTTGAAAGACACAACCCGTAAATGCTCGTAAAAAACTAAACGCAACAGANTATTACAAGGGACTATTTATAATTCGGTATTTACCCTTTGATGGTCTTAGCTTGCGCAGGGGAATTTTGCGTTGTTGTTGTTGTTTTTTTAAAGTAATGTAATTCCTTTTGATCATTTAATGTTCTAAATCTCTTTTTTTTTTAATTTTTAACTTGAATTTTTTAAACAGTTGTTACCGACTCGGTCTATGTAGGTGTAAACGAGAAAATTTTTTAAGTTATGTTGTCCCTAGTCATCTTAGCTAACATTATCAGAAATCCAGTTATTGGATTGAAGTAGTAAAATGTACATACATTTAAACCTGTAGTTACCCTTAGGAACTGAATACGGTCACTGCTAAACATTTTATGGACGCTCAAACGACAAATTTTAATAGAAGTCTACAATTTTCTCCAGAAGTGACCCTCCGACGGTGACTTTTGGTAAATTTAAACTAAGGACTGTTTGTCACCACAGCTAGAGCTGGATTTCCATTCTCGCCTTATTATGTTCACGTCCGTTGATGGGCGCGGATTCTAATTGAATTGCGCGTGTAAAATATAATCATGATGGCGAAAATGTATCGGACGGGTTGCATCTGATGGCGGTGGGTGAAAGTTACACGTGATGCAAGCTGTTTTCTCTATTCTATTTCACGCAAGCAAGGCGGTTGAAAGACACAACCCGTAAATGCTCGTAAAAAACTAAACGCAACAGAGGGAATCGAGTTTATAATAGAACCTTACCATGGACAGAACTAACAATTTTACAAGGGTACAGTTACTTGCTCGGCCTCACTAGCCTATGGCTATAAACACTGACTGAGGCTAACAAGTGATTTTTTATAGTTTTAGTTGTGGCGTTAAATGGTGACCACGTCTGGTTACTAGACACTGCTGACCACTGAATGAAGGTCAAATTTACAGCAAATAAAATAATGGAACGGAAGGTGATCACAAACTAGTTAATTCGCACTTATTAACCGAATTTCATTAGCAATGATTTTGGTTAGGTCTGTTTATGAAATTATGCTGCAGTTTTGACTGGCTTACTGTAGCGAGAATAACTGAGATATCTTTGCATTTGTTGGACTTTTTAAACTGACTCTTCTTTCTTTTACATTTATAATAATTATATGTTTGTTACAATACTTACTCATTTTTACATTCCTTACTTAATCTAATCAACATCCAGTGCCTACGTACCAACTCACTGACCAGGGTAACAATGCTCTTCAAGCATTAAACTGTCTGATCACGTGCTCAATGTGCGCCCTGCAAATGGGGCATGGGTCGCCCCTTTGCTTTAGGACTTGTGCACAGGGCCAGCAACAGCAGCAGTGCCCAGTGTCACCGTGAATGAGTGTGGCATTTTTGGGGTTCTCCATGCAGATAATACACTTGGTGTTGACATCTATGTCTTCGGGTGACGCGACAGTGTTTCCTTTTTCTGTCACGAAAGATGGGCTGGCCTCAGCAGCTGACGTGGGAGTCAAACGATCTCTTGTTATCCATGGGTTCTCTTCCGGTCTGCGATTAAAACTGAAGCCTGCTGCAAGAATCGAATAGAAGAATTTGAATGGGGTAATGAGAATCTCGTGGAATCTCGTGGATTTCTCAACAAGTGGATATATCTGTCATGATTTCAACTTTGGTTACCAACCTTAACCTGATAACAGCCATTCTCATTAGCTTCCGAAAATGTCTTACTAGAATGATTTTAAAATTTGTTTAAATTAACTTAGTACTTATAAATAATCTCATTTCTTATATGGCTAACCTGTGAGCAGGTAAGATAAACTGAATCCTGCACTGTGATTGGCTACCCAAGCAGGCAAGATGGCACTATTTTGCCTGCTCGGTACTACCTGCAGTTTCTCCCAAGGAAAATTTTCCCAAAAGCCATATAATATATGTTAATCATTCATTGACCAAGCTTGTTCAGTCAAGGATGCCTCGATATTGGCCTAATTCTTTTTTTTGCGAGTTTATGGACCTATACTCTGTCTCGGTCCATAAACAAGCAAAAAGAGAACTTGGCCATTATCCAGCCATCTTGACCGAACAAGCTTGGTCAATAACCCATACATCTATAATACGAGTCTTTCACTACTCTTCTCATCTGGATTTCCTCAACATTTTCCAACAAAATCAGACAGAATCCACTAGCCCAACAACAAAATCAACATGTTCTGGTCTGTTTCATACAACTTTCTTTCCACGCTGATAAACCTAAATTCTATCAAGTAATATGAAAAACTTGGGATAGCATGCTGGTGTTGAGTGTATACATGTTCATGTACCTGGTCTGCTTGACTCAAATCCTCTGTTTCTGGTTACATTTGGTAATGATGGACCAGTTTGGTCAGCTGCTGAATTGATACAAACAAAAACAAAGATATCACAATGACTTTAACCTATCATTCACATAAAAGTCTGTATACAAGCCAAGTGGCCCATCAGACAGGTGCTTATCTATGGTTTCTGTAGAATGAGGCAACTAGAAGAATTTCTACTTCCTCCCTGGATGGGATGCTGGTCCATTGCAGGGTTACTCCCAGTATTAAATTCACCGGGACCCATTTATACACCTGGGTGAAGAGAGCCACTGTGAGAGTGAAGTGTCTCGCCCATGAACACAATACAGTGTTCCCTTGAAGGGTTCAAACCTGGACAACCAGAGCTGGAGGAGAGCGCACTAACCACGAGGCCACCATGCCTCCATCATTGACATAAAGCTACCGAAGAAAGATCTCTTAGTCCCTCAACAGGCTGAAGATGAACCTATAATTTTGTAAGCTGGTCAGATGCTCTACCTGTGAGCTACAGGGTTTGCAATTAGGTTCAAATTAAATTTTAATTTTCAGCAATTTAAATCTTGTCCAGCACCCAGTCAAGGTATTTGCTTTTCTTAGTAACCTATGTCAATGATAGGTTAATTAACTACTGACAGAGGAAAAACGTTAATCTGCTGTCACTAAGGGGAACAGAGAAAAAAACCTGAGCATGTCGTGCAGAGGTCAAACTGACATGTTTACCTATTTAAATAATTTAGCAGCTTCTATGATAAATTCAGATTCAACAATCAGTTGCCATCACTTCCAAATAATATGCTTACAAGTCTCCTGCCCTGAGCATTACCTTCGATTGTTCCACTCATGCAGGAGTGACACAGGTCGTATTCACATGTCTGGCAATGCCATGGCTTGTTATCTGTGGGATTGTTGTGGACTGAACCACAGTTATCACAGCGCCACCCTCCACTGAACTGTGCATACACAAAATGTGAGTCTGCTCTGTACAGTGGGTGGGGATGTAGTGGGGTATTATGTGGTTTAAAACAGTTATGGCACACATCAAATTCACACTCTGAACAATGATGTGAGAATCTGAAAGAGATCAAGCAACATGTTACATATCACTGTATAAACTTAGTGTGACATGAAGAAATCTTTCACATGCGGACCCTCCCTAAAAACAGGCAGATAAAAACACATTTTTCTTTTCAAATACTGTGGAGGTAGCATTTTGGCAGAGAAATAAGATAAGAGAACAAGGAACCATGTGAACAAGGAATTTCAGAGTATTGAAGTAAATAAACAGAAACCTGGAGGGGAGTTGGGTAGGGGGGGAATTATTTTAGAATTCCGAAGGCACAGGGGGTAGAGCATTCTCAAATTTCTGAAAATAACAGGGGATTAAAATATGGAAGTCATCCAGTGGCGGATCCAGACCTTGAGCTAAGTGGGGGGAGGGGGAGGGGGNGGGGGGGGGGGGTGATGTCTTCTTTTTTTACCCAAATTAAGGGACCCCTCCCCTAGATCCACCAGTGCCATCTGTGGCTGGGTATGGATATTTTCTGGGATTGCCCAATCCTATTTAAACTGAATAAAATATCAGTACTAGAAAGATATTTTGAGACAAAGAAGTTATCACTTACGTCTCAAATGGCCTGCTTGAATTGCTACAGATGTCACACACCCAACTTCCCCCAGTTTGTGTATAGATAAGCGAGGTATCTACTAGGTTCAGTACATGGACATGAACTGGATGCTGCTTTGGCTCAAAACAGTTTCTGCAAATGTCAAAGCTATCACAGGTGGGACAGTGGTAGGAGAATGTTTGCCTTAGATTGTCACTTGTGCTTTTACAAACAGCACATCTCCAAATTCCATTCTGATTTTGATAAAGCAGCCTGCTTGTTTCCATATATAGCAAAGGGTGTCGATGTGCTGCAGTGCTTTGCAGAAGCTGCATGTGCATGCATGAATAGCACAAGTCAAAAGCGCATCGGCTGCAATGGAACGGAAACGACGTTGCACTGCTCTCGCCATTGCAATTGTCGCACTTCCAACGACCTCCATAAGCCTGGTACACGGTCATAGGATTAACTTGCTCCAACTCATGTTCATGAAGTGGGGTACGCATCTTCTCACACGACTTTTGAAACTGTGTCAAATAATTATCTTTATGAGATGTCCATTTGCCTGGCTCTTTCCAAGTCTGCAAAGTATGCAAATACAAAGAGTGTGAGTATAATTATAATGCACTGGATATCATGGAAAACCAATGATCAGCGTAAATCATGATTGATTTAAGCTAAATATCAGAGCTTGTTGAAAATATAAATAACATAACAAAATAATTCACCAACAGTATGTCCAGGGTGTTGGTCACAATTAATTCATTATTTCGAATTTGCAATAATTTAAACAGTTACATGCGACTACTCCTATCAAGGCCACTTAAGCAAATTCTTTGCAAACTGACCACTGGCATTTCAAAGTTTTAAAATAGTTACTAATCAAATTGACCACAAATCTGTTGCCTTCATAATGTATAGTATGATTACAAGGATAATTTGTTGGAGTCCATGATTTTCATTATTATTAAATTTGTAGAAATCTTTGTCACGCAGCCTTGGTTGGTGTAGTCACACTGTAATTAAAACAGATTTGGGTTTCAACAATGTTTTTGTAATTTTGGTAATTTTAACTGCAGTAACAACCCTATCTCTTTGGTATAAATATTACATCTGGCATTATGCTTATTACAGGGAAATGAATTTAAAAAATTGCAACTTGAAGGTAGAAAGCCATGATTTAATAAACAAATCACTGTACGTAAACAAATATGCATTGTTTTATTACCAGTCTAATTGTTCGGAGAACAAATTTAAAAGCTGGGGTTTTTTGTTCTTGCCTGAAGAAATGAATGTAAAGAAGGCGACTAAGAAACAAAAATAGTTTGCATAAAATACTTCTCAAAACAGAAAAACAAAATCAGAGAAGAAAAGTGCAGAGTGATGTTCTCCAGCTAATTTGTAATTCACATGCAAGAAATGAGGCAAATCTGAGAAAAAAAAACTGGACTAAAATTAACCATAAGCTTAGGGCAGTTAAGCCCCTTAGCCTTCATGTGACTGTAGCTGCGGTTGATAAAATGAACCCAGATTTAAGTTAATAACAGAATTACTGAAAATGACACAAATCATAGTATCCTTTCAAAGTATTTGTACTTTTGAATGAATGAAAGAATGAAAGACTTTATTTAAGTGTCATAAGTATTTAGCTTTAAAAAAAACTAATCGGGACACTATTTACACTATAAAATATACCTTAGCTACCTTTATTATTGATACCCTTTCTTTAGGCACATTTTCAATTTACAGGTAAATAAGCATTTACATGTACATGTAACTTTTCATTGTTTGTAACTCACTCATGATTTGAAGTTACTTACAAAATTACAATTATATGGCTGTATATATAGAATAAATTACATGGGTTTTAATAACCAGAGTGAAGAGAATGACACTAACTTTATAGTATTTGTATAGCATTGTTATATTATATTCATCTAGTCATACTTAGGTGGACTAAAACTGTAAGCTACCAGATGGAATACAATTACGTGATACAAATTTCTTCCACTTAAGGTAATTCCCCTGAAATAAAACTGTCAACAGATTTTTGTTCAAACTTTGTCCACTGAATATTTATCATATGAGAACTTTAATTATAAAATAAAAAGGGTGGGTGCCCATACTTGTTTAGGAGCAGTGGGGCATTGAAAGTGTCCAATTTTAGCATTATTTAATGCTTGTTACAAGAACATATTCCAAGTTATTGTAAACTCTTTGTGAGCCCCAGACTCATGAAAACACACCTCAAACTACAGTCAATACTTGTGTCGGACACAAATAAACTTTTTAAGTTTGATTTTGACAGACAGCTGAATCCTCGTTAAAATATTGGAACCAAATTGCTTGCCACGACTATCAAACTGCAAAATAGAAAAGACTACAGTGCAGCTGCTATTTTCCTTATTTATTCAATTTTCAACAATAGAAATCAGATCAGTCTTTTTTCACACAAAGTCAATGATTAGTTAATTAAAATGACTGGAAAAAAATTTAGGGTGCCCATGCTCGTTAGTGAGCTATAGCCATTATTCAACTGACAGAACTCAATATCAAGGCAAATCTGCCATGTTTTCAATGTGCGTGTGCATGAGTGTGCCCGAATGACGCCATAAATTATGTGCAGTAAGGATGCAAATGTGAGGAATCACCTTAACGGTGTGAAAAGTTCGCTTATCAATTGATTCAGCAATCATAGGTTCAATTTGATATATTGAGGCTACTTTAGCGAGATAGATTTTTAGTGACAGAGGAGAACCTAGAAAAATTATTTTGGCAGAAGTAAATCTGTTGTTTTGCCAGGATAAAGAGAATATGTGAGAATTTTGCATCTCTGACTTGATAGAAACAGAGAAAAATAATGTATTTCATGAACTGTGCTATCATTGTTATTGTTAGGAAATTTAACTTCCAACTCATTTCACTATCAAAAACTAGGTACATGTATAAGTTTTACTTAATATGAACACTGTAAAACATGGAAAATTTTATCTAAAACAGTTGAAAAATTACTCTTGGTTCGTTTTATAAGCGATTGCATGGATATTCCTCCTTTGTAATTTGCACCTTTGCTAATTTCAACCAAGAATTCTTACCTCAAGAATAGGATTCAAAACCTCCATGATCCTAGAACTTTAAGGCCAATAAATGTTTTAAACTTTGTTCAGTATTGATATCTACTTGTGATAAATATGGGATAGCAGACTGCAAGATCAACTGAGTGTGGGATAATTCAGTACTACACCAGTTTTTTTATCAGCTAGAATCTGACAGTTCAAAAACATCTACGAAGAACTGAAATATTTGGAAGTATTCTGTTTCAGTTCTTGAAATAACTTGTGATAAAAGTTCATAAATAATTTATAGAAAGAATTGCAGAACTGTAAGCAGGAAGTACATAAGTTATTTCACACAAGGTGACAATTTTCACAGTGTACAGTTCCAGAAAATATCCATACTCCCCTTACAGAAAGGATTGGAGTTTCCTGGGGGGTGGGGCATTTTCTCTAAGACCAAAACATTAAAAGAAATGTATCAAGCTTATTAATTAAAATTTCCAGAGGGGTGGGGAAGGTATAGATATTTTCTGGAACTACACAATACAGATAAAAACATTACATGAAGCATTTTGCCACAGATAGTTTTGCCAAATGAACAGGCTAAATTTTCTGCACTCTTATTTACTCTTCAGACAGATCGCCAGTTACACATGTGCAATAATATTTTCACACAAGATGGAAATCACCTCACAGACAAATAACATGTATGATTCTGCACTTGAATAAAAACAGAAGGAGCATAATTCTAGATTGATTTTTTTTATCAGTCTATCTGTCTTGCTCTCTGTGAGTGCAAGGTAATGTTTAACTACAAATCAATATACATCTATGTAAGTCATGCAAACTTGCTGTTTTAAGAACGATATTGTAAAACAACTGAGAAGTTCAAGGTAGGCAAATTTTGCTCACTTTTTAAAACAATGAAGGCAGTGAACTGCAATAAATGACAAAGATAGAGATCTACATCCCATTTGTTTATTTTAGTAACCCACTTATGGAGAGACTTCCGGGTGAACAAAAGGATAGCATTACATAGACATTTTCTCACTACACTCCATAATCACTAAGGGATTGGTTTTTCCCATCGATGAATTAACTTCATCAGTAATGGTATCAGTCAGGCCACAGTTTTTAAATGAAGGCTGGATAATGCTGTCCACCAGATAAATCATCATCTGATGGATATGTGTTGACAAAACAAACCACACTATCTGCAGAGTATTATCCACCTTTTGAACAACCGGGGCCAGGTAACTACAATTTCTATATACTTTGATGTCTCCATATCGGTGGGCAATAAGATGCCAATCACATGATATATGAAGACTTCCATAATTCAATTTACATTTGTACTAAATATTATGCCTTGTTATTTTAACAGTTTCAAATCAGCAGTGCTTTCAGCAATGTTCCAAGCAAAGACACAGACCTGGAAGGACCTCATTCCGGTTCTGTTTTTAACCAATCAGAAAGAATTTCGATAAAAAGGTGAAATAAGTTATTTCATAATATTACGTTAGCGAAAGCTATTCTGAGCAGCTCATGTTGTTTTTTTCTTCACTCTAAACCTAGTCATCCACCTAAACATAACCGTTTCGCTTCTTAACAACCCAAAAATGGTAGAAATCACAAATCAAACGACTATCGGACTTAACTGTAATAAAATGCTATAAAAGAAGCTGAAGGGCACGACGTAAGCTGATATCTACTTACTTGACGAAATTAAGTTTCTTACTACTTCAATACTTAACCTTAATTTGTTTCAGTTTGCCTCGCTTGCTCATCAAAAAGAAAATAAAAGTAGAAAATGAGATTTAAACTTAGCTGAGCTCTGCAACATCCGGTAGTACAGCATCGTAGGTCGACCCAACAATTACCCGCCATCTTGAAAATTCTTACCTTCCAATAACGAACTAAACATTGCGTTCCAGTTTATCCTGTAGTGTTTTCAAAGGGAACGGAGTCATCGGTGGTTACAAATACTAGGTCAGCATATCTTGCATAGAGTACGTGCTTCATGGAATGACTAAGCAGTAGAGAACTTGAAAAATCGCGGAAGAGTGGATTACGGCTGACACCGAGGGAACCCCCCCGGATGATACGGGGTGATAGGATGTGATTAATATGCGATGGGGGTATTTCCCGCCTTGCACGGCATTTTCCCTTTCAAAATCTTCTTTGACAAATTTTGATTTGGCAAAATTATATTCTGCTGAGCCAAGAGTTGCAAAACAGAACTGATCAAAGTTTTATTTTATTCAGCACTGCTTATGTTCCGGATGAAAAATGGCTTTTAACTTACATTTTAAAAAAATTTTGGACAGGTCAGAGTCCGGCGCTACGTGCACAGTCGTGCGTGTAGCTCTTTACGGCGTGCAGAAAAGATTGACATGATTGAGATGGTATGAAATGGCAAAGATTTATGAAATGGCAAAGTTCGGAAGTATTTAAACAAGAACGCATACCAATTTGATCTTAATTTCCCCGTCTCGCTCACAACCAAGCGAGAAAATATTTCTGGCTTGCATTAACATTTCGGCTCCCCCATAGAATTTTTTTTTCAGGGGCGCATGACGTCTTCAACAATATGCGTGACGCAAGTCACGCCCACAATGATCACGCAACAGTCAGGTGGGAGGATAAAATCAACGTGATACCGGTAAAGAGAGACCGAAGTGGTGAGAAACACTCATTAACAGGGCATTGATACTCGGGAAAACACAATAATATAAAATACGGGTGTGAATCGTGAAAATATTCCGCGTATTCACAACCTCGTTCCCAGGGTCATCTCCCTTCCTCCCTCAGGGTTGAAACTGGTTTCCTTTCCCAAAATATCACTAGTCAATTTCGTACTAAATCCGTTTGATGAAAACACCTAAAGACCTTTAGGAAGAATTAAGAATTACAGGGATAATTTTTTGAGAAGTCCCCTATTTCTTTTCTTTTCTTTTCTTTTCTTTTCTTTCTTTCTTTCTTTCTTTTTTTTCAAATTTATCTTTTAATTTAAACAGTTTACAATATGTAATAAGCATCTAGAGGAGTCCCCTATGAATAAGCACAGGAATACCATTCAGCAGGAACCCTACAGCTTATGGCACTGCATTCGTTCTCTACCGCCCGGGCCACATTTTCCTCGCTCTAAGGCACCACGGGCTTAAGTGGACAGATGGCGAGTCTGGAGATGTGTTTGTCATAATATTTTCATGATCAGTGAAAGTTCAGTTCAATCCAAATGATGTAAATGGGCTAACTGCCATTAAAGTATCATAAATATTGAGAAACCGAGAAGCTAAGTAAAAATTCGACATTGTTATAGTAACTTTTAACATATCGATTTTTATCGATTAACTACTACGGGCTGTTTCTGAAGCCTCGCAAAAAACGAGACATCACTGAAATGTTGCAAGGCTGCAACTTCAAGCAAAGGGACAAAATTTTCATTGGCCAACATTTCAACTTCCAGAGTTAATTTGGACTACGGAAAGAGACAAAGGAAGGAGATAACTCAGTTTCAAAATATTACACAAAATATTTTCCCTTTTATCGTAGTGGTCGCAGCGCCTTGAGGCCTAAAAATAAATTTGGTGTTATTCTTAGTAGTAAAGGACATGTTTTATTAGTTCTAAATATGGTACCAACTGGCAGTCAAACCATACTAATGATTGTATAAAATTAAAGACGATAATGATAAGAAGATCAGTATCTCTGTCGAGCATGCCTTAAGTTTTTATTTCTTTTTATTCACCAAACAAGTTTGTCTGCTAAACCTGACCAGCTTTATGGCTTTCTATCTGACTCTTTATCCAAAAAAATCTGACGGATAGTCTTTGTCTGTCTGTCTGTCTGTCTGTCTGTCTGTCTGTCCGTCTGTCTGTCTGACTACCTCACTGGTCAACACTTTCATCTGTCAGTTCGTACCTGGTAAGGACGGCCTCAAGCAAAACGAGACAATAAAATTGGCGTTCTTTTTTTCTAAACTAGCCTAAATTAAAGGTACGCGAAACAAAAAATATATTTCTCCATACTTTGGGGACTAATCCTGTGAAGCTTGCGCCGATCGTAGAGGGTGGCAAAGGTGGGGTACCAATCATGCTTTACGCTGAATTTTTCTATTAAATCAATAGCTGGTTTTTACAGACGTCACTAAAATTCTAACTACAAAACTATTGATCTTCCTAAGATTTTACTTAAATGATGTATAAGAGCAGCTGAAAACTAAT